GTAAATATCCATGAGAATATTTTAGGAGTGATATTCTGTGTAGTACATAGTGTTCAGTCGGTTATAAAAATGCAAAATTTTATGATTTTTCCCTCAGAGTTTTGGTGTGTCCCCAATGATGACTCAACCTCAACACTCAGGTTTTCATCATTCAGAGCAGCCAAACCTGAATGCTTCCTCCAGCTCCATATATGAGCAGATTCCAGAAAGACCAACCAGCTCTAGAGCATGTCTGCCCCCACCAAACCCCAAACGCTGACCTCACACTTGTACAGTACAGACCTCTGAATTAACCAAAAGAGTATTTCCTTTATAAACGCTCTGCATGACAATTTAAAAAAAAAAACAGCATAGTAATAAATATTAGGATATATGTGTACTATAACATTACATTGCTTATAACCTGTATATACATTTATAAGGCTTGTTAATAGTGACCTCCCCATGGAGTATGTAGGCATGTTTATCTCTTTATCATTTAAATTGAACCTGGATATACATTTTTTGTATGTGGACTCACTCAAAGTTACACAGCAAATAATTCCATAATTAAATAATCACTTTAATCAAATATATTTATTCTGATTAAAAGCCACTGATTTTATTTGTTTCAGTGAATTGATAGCCATAATATAACTAGCTTTTTCACTGAATTACTTCGCTTATTATTTAGCTGATAGAAAGATATTGCCATAAAAGACTAAGAATGCACTAATCACTACATGAAAAGAACATAACAAAAAAGCAGACACACAGATGAAAGCATATTTCAGTGAGTGACCAGACACACAATGAGAGGATCTCTATAAATCCCCCTTTTATTTCCACAAACAAGCCCCACATTGATCATGAAGGACTGTACAGTTCTGTTTAGCATTTGACGATAATTAAAAGAAAAAAGAAAAAAAAGAAAAAAGATGGTTCACCTGAAGCCACCCTGGAATGGCCACTTTAATGTCAAAAGCAGTTGGTGATCCTTATGTAGGTTGATGCTTATTCCTCAATTTCTAATGAAGACCAACCTCACTTAAAAGCAGATTAATTCACTGACCATTTACCCCAATATGGGTAATTCATTTACAAAAAAAAATAATAAAAAATCTTAACTCCCGCCCACCATAATGCACTTCTATTCCTCCCTCCTTCCATTACCACAATGATCCCTGATCTGTTTTTATCCTGTATTAAGATTACTCAGTTCTTTTTGCTCTTCTGGGAGTCGTACTTCCTCTTGCTGGAGTACCACAAGAGCAGAGGAATGCCAATGGAGGGAAGGGTCATGACACCAAAAGCTGCCCAGTCCAGCTTTTAGATGGAAAAACAGAGATTAGATTTCAATATAACTGCACAGGCCATGATATATTAAAGAGCATTTTACACCATTTTCCATATTAAAGCACTTACATAATGTGGAGAAAAGCGTCTGTCAAACTCTCTTTGGGCCAGGATGCCTCCCTGACCTGGAGCACTTGTGTAACCAACCTAAGAGATGCAAAGAATGAGAAAAGTCTTAGCTAACAGCCAATAACTACATTTACATATACTGTAATAATAAAACATTTTACAAAATGTTATATATAATGGCTAAATGAGGCGCAGGAAAAAAAAATTATTTACTTATACTGACTGTACATGAAAGGTATCGTAGGACTCCACTTACCACGACCTGTCCACCCTCCTGGGCCAGATAACTAACGGAAGCAGAGGTGAAGTTGAAGTATCCAGCTTTCAGAGGCCGCAGAACCACTGTGTGAGAAACATTACTAGCACTGAAGACAGGAAGAGTTAAGGAACACAATCTACTGAAGAACAAAAGTAAATAAAGCATCTTGACTGTCTGATACAGTACTGATGATGTTAAGTGCCATCAGTAAAGATGAAATTTATTGATTTAAATTTAAACAGGATTACAGTGTTTAAACAAGGATGCAAGTCCACATCAGACTTAAAAATGTCCCTAAACAATGTAAAGATTCAGATGAGTGGCATCTAGCCATCTATATATACACACACATACGTGTGTGTGTGTGTGTATCTATACAGTGGTGTGAAAAAGTGTTGGCCCCCTTCCTGATTT